AGCGATAATCCGTGATGACTTGTGAATATTGGTCGGTCTAGTTCAGCACCGTAGAAACGCCCGATCTTTGTTCTCTTCGTCCAGCTGCAGCAGCGGGCAGCGTACCCTGCGGCGAGCACACTATACTGCCTTCCCGCCAGCTTCTGCTCGCTTTTTCGGCGCAAAACAGAAAATCGTTACGGACACGCTATGCATGGTTCGAAAGGCCTATGGTCCCGCTACATTTCCCCGCAGTCGGTATTCGGTTACCATCAACCGTACTCGTACCCGGCCGACATAACCCTGATTCGGGTACTTACGCCCTCTGCACCAAGGGGGGTGAAAGAGGGGGGCGGAACCTTGTCCAATGGTGAGTACTTACCATAGGTAGTCACCACGCACCGGGTCTCCGTCGCCGGCCGCGCGGCCCGCTCAGACGAGCCCGATAAAGAGGTACCCGCAAAGCGCCACGTGACACGTCGCGATAAATGCGATGCGCCTATGGTTTCGCGGATCGTAGAAAGGTGAGCTAGGGCTTGTTGTAACCGCAATGACTTGTTCTATCATCTGGCAGGGGCCGTGAAAAAATCCGTGACCTGACCTCTAATTTTGGAACGGCCTACCGCGGAGGTAAGGCGCACGCTCCGATCAGAAAAGACTCACCGAGGGGAATACTCGGGTGGCCGTTGAATTATCTGGGAGTTTGAAATTCTGCTCCTTCGTATTTTAATATCGGTCACAGGGTACAGTCATATTGCGATTTTAGTTTTAGTTTCTTGATTACAAGGCATTATTATATGCCTCTGTATTCTATCTTTTTTGTTTACCATTGTTCCAGATTCATGATATTATGTGACAAATGTAATAAATGGTTACATGGCAAATGCTGTGATGTTACTAAAAAGCAAGGTAAGTGTTTCTGTGCCCTGCTGTTTCTCTTAAGAATAAGGGATTTATGTTTGATACGCACGGACAAAAAACGGAAGTCGTTTTGAACATGGCCCTTGTTCTGCCCCAAACTCTGCGAATTGAGAGGCTTTAAAAATACAGACAGAGTAGGGGTGGGTAGCCTAGAGATGTCTCTACAAGGCAGCATTTGCACGGTTGCCATATTCTAACCCGTTCGCGATCTACAAGGGAAAAACAAGCGTTACGCACGGACGCGAGGAGCGTTACGCACGGACACGTACGGTAATGGAATTAGCACACTTCGGACACTCATATCTCAGCATCGGAAGCGAGATGCGCGTCTGCCTTTTGTGCAGGTCATAGTCATAGCCACTGTTGCAATTTTCCAAAAGAAATAATGACGCCACCTCATACCCATCCCCTGCAATTGAGGTGCAAAGTTGACCTCTTGCCATTTATAGTAAGATGCATACAGGTTGGTCCACAGACCCTTTCCTTCATTTTGCTTATACTGTATCTCATTCAAGCGGGCTAGCCTACCGTCGCTCACCACGGTGCCTTATGGCCCCGTCCGAGTATGCAACCCGGCCGCACGCCTGCATCCGGTACAATATATGCAAAATAAAGGGGGGGATCACCCTGCATTTCCAGTCTTCGATCCCTAAATTTAATCTTTTAGGGTGTGAATAGTTTTAGGAAGGTACTTGGGGTTCAGAAATCGGTCAGCAGTGGTTTTTACCTTATAGTTCAAAGTTTGATCACTTTTGAAAACACTCGCCGGAGTGGTAGAAGGAAAGGGGGGGGGGCGGCAGGAGGAGAGAAAGGTCCGGACCAGTGCGTTTGAGTCGATGAGTGCGAGCAGGACATAAACGTTCGATATAATGTGTAAAGATTGGCTTCTGCAAAGACAGCGCTCATTTTTGTGCGAAAAGATTGTCCTGCCGAACATGGGCTGTTCACGATAGCGTCTGTGCGTAACGCGATTTTCACCATGTTCCGTTCGTTTTACGACCACCGACCTCCATACCTTTTTTGTTCGTCATGGAAAAATAGCTTTGCTTCTAAATTTGCAGATTTCTAACCACATAGGCAAAACCTCAAATTTTAAAAAATCATCAAAATCGTTACGCACGGACACGCTTATTTCGAAAATAGTTCAGGCGTTATAACTCGGCCTCAGTGACCAAGATCCGCTTTTCGGCTCCAGGGATATGTTCATGAGTGTGTCCCGAACATTACGCAAAAACAAAACCTCAAAAATTCCGTCGGGAAAGCCCATTTCTATGCCCGTTTCAGACATCTCTAAAAATGCTTAACTGTTTCTTGGTACCGACCGACGCTCTGTTTTAAAGTTCAAAAAGAGACCGAAGGCATCACAAATAAGCCGCTTTCTTTGCAGAACATAAAAATTCAGGCTTTTGGCTATCCGAAACCGTCCCAAGCTGGTCGCTACGATGAAATCTAAAAGTTGGCCCTCACTTCCGCATTTTTCTAGAATTGCCCTAGGAAGGTACTTAAGAGAGGAGAACTTGAAGCTTAAAGCAGACAGTGAAAAGATTGCACAAGAAAATAAAGCTTTACTTTCCCAAGTAAACCACTTGACTGAGGTGAGAATTAAAGCTTGACTCTAGATCCATAATCCCCATTTTTAATATCTGCACAATCTAAAATTTAATTCTTGTTTATTCTATTAGGAAAATCTAGAACTAAAATCAAACTTCCAGAAGGTTCAAGAGAGTAGTGATTTGGTTAAGC